ATAACGCGCATCTTCACTCGCTGAAGTAACTTTGAGAATCACGCAATGATACAATAAATACTCTGGGTATTATTTCATGCATCTGTAACATAACAATATATATTCCTGGGTTATATCCATGCTTTTTGTAAACGCAATTTGTCCTATTTCATACATTCTTGGAATAAAACTAAATTTACTTTTACCTTGCTCCAGTTTATATGTTGCAATGCAGCCCTGTTCCCGTTAATGACGTTGAGAATCCACCGCTCACCAGGATAGTTTCAGTGTCCGGCTTGACTCAACGATCAAGCTTGGACTTATTTATTTAAGTTTTAGGACGTGGTCTGCTTTCACTTTCCTTTACCGAACGAATCACTAGATACCATGATTATATTATAATCTGTTGTTTTCTTTTTGCAGAGTACATATTAATCTTGATGTCGTTCATGTAATTGAAAATGAGATACGATAGACACGATGTGGTTTTGGTTTGGTTTGTTGTCTAACGCCGCACTCAGCAATATTCCACTTATATGACGGCGGTCTGTAAACGTAAATAATCGAGTCTATGTGAGTGGGAGGTGCTACCTTATGTCCTCACTGAGTTCCAGTGATCCACTGACATAAGTTTCAATGCCGTTTTGGCTTTTACGCCCGTTGCAATCTGTTTCGACAGGTTATTCTCAGGCGACATTACCGAAATGGAATTGCTCATGACATTGTTATTAAGGCAGTTATTAGCACAGGACTTGCGCTAGGGCTTCAATGGGTCAAAGTTTGGGCGGGCGTGAAACTCGACTGTTACTCCAGTGCCCGAAAATAACACTTTCCCAATTGCGTGGATTGATGCTCACAATCCAGTGATCGATATCATGAGCATCGATCCACGCATTTGGGATACGATGACATGCATCAACCAAGTCAGCGAGCCTGACCACCCGATCCCGTTAGTCGCCTCTTACGACAAGCATAGTCGCCTTTTACGGCAAGATTGGGTTGCTAATGAAGTATTTTGGGAAAAACCTATTTAGATTCCATTCTCATTATAAAACTTAACGCCTGCACACAAGATTGGTTTGTTTGTTTGTTGGTTGGTTGGTTGTTTAACGCCGCACTTAGCAATGTTCCAGCTATATGACGGCGGTCTCATAATCGAGTCTGGACCAGACAATCCAGTGCTTGACAACATGAGCATCGATCCACGCAATTGGGATCGATGACATGCTTCAACCAAGTCAGCGAGCCTGACCACCCGATTCCGTTAGTCGCCTTTTACGGCAAGCATATCACCTTTTACGGCGAGCATGGGTTGCTGAAGACCTATTCCACCCCGGATCTTCAAGGGCAGGATGCATTGTGTAGGGAGGGGTAAACTTCCTGTTCGGAATTTGGAATTAGGGTCATTTTTTTTCAAGCATGTGCTTCAGATAAGCGGTATTGGAGCGAACACCTGGACTACCAGTACCTGTACCTGTACCAGGATGCCAAATGATACAGGTATTTAAAGACAACAAGTCTATTGTGTTCCTGAAGAGAACTTTATTCTTACTCAAGCAGCATGTAGCAATTGGGGTGCAATAGAAACCCATACACAATATATTTAGAGTAAATATATACAAACACGATCATATATTCTAAGATTACATTTCATTTTTTAAATCCTCAATCTATCATAAACATAAGAAATATTCAGTATAATTTGATAGAAATGCTTCACACATCTGAACAATAGAATTCCATGTTTAAGGTAGTTTAAAAAATTAACATGCCAAAAATAAACAAAACATATATATATATATATATATATATATATATATATATATATATATATATATATATATATATATATATATATATATACACATATATATATGTATGTGTGTGTGTGTATATATATATATATATATATATATATATATATATATATATATATATATATATATATATATGTGTGTTAAATTATAATCATTTTCTGTTAAAATATTAAAAACATTTCCATCTTACAGTCTGGAGTATCTCCAGGCGATAAAGTATATACAAATTTCAGTACACTTCCTGCATTGTCATGCGTCATGACTACTATATCAGATGTCTTCTCTTACAGACAAATGCCTAATTGTGTCATGTCATATATTATCATGACATATACATATTACATATCTCTTGGATCAAAAGGTTTTCTGTTGTGTTTTACGTACATATACAACCGCACTCGCGGTCTAAAACAAGGACTGGTCAGCACACTGTGTCTGAGTTGGGTATTCATGATCATGTTAAACTGCGGCATGGTATCTAAGTGGGCTAGCCCTATAAAATCGGCATCTGTCCGGACTAGTAAAAGCAGCCACACACACACACGTGTTTGCACGTCGCTATATAGGTGCAATAATCTTGGACGCGATGTTAAACCCCAATTCACCTCACCTCACCTCACATCACCTCACCTCGACACGTACATATGCCGCAAAGCTTATATAAAAAGAAGTCAAATGTAGATTTCAAAATATTTTTCTTGAACATATGAGTATTAAGATATTTGGAGTTTGTGTTCGGGTTGGGACAGAAAGTACTTTCAACAGAAAAGGAAGACAAAATTTCAACAGAAAAGGAAGACAAAATTATACAATTTGAATAGTATGGAAGCGTATTCGTGCCACAGTAAAATATCATACAATACGTTCACCTACGTAGATGGTACTACTCACATCTATATATACGTAGAAGTGAGTTAAGATTTAACGTCACATCGGCAGTATTTCAGCCATATCGTGACGAGCCATCTACGTAGAAGACACTTTCATCTACACACATGATATTATAAGCTACATAGAAGATAGTGTCATTTACTGTCGAATCATCGACTTTTAGTTCCGGGTCAGTTATATATAACCCCTGGCTTAATTAATAATGACCGATATGTTTTACTTTCTATCTTGACATGTCTTTATTGAGGTACTATCTAAACATTAAAATACAGTAAATCTTCATTTCAAAGTGTCGAAATTACTAAAGAATGACACACCGCACTCTCTTACAACTGTAATAGAGAGAGCGGAGTACAAAATATTCTCCAAACAAACAACTACAGATCATTATTCAAAATTTTAGCGAAATAATATATCAACCACAACAAGGTTTCGGTCGGAGAAATCACTCGAAAATATTTATTCTCATTGTTTCTCCATTGCGAAAATTAGGTTTAAGAGGTAAAACATGAATATGAAGGGGTGAGAATCACGCAAACTATAAAAACTATATGAAGCTAATACTCATCATCCGATTTAAGACCGAAGGAACAATTGTGCAGTTTGTATTTTTATTTTAGCACTGATAGTTTAAAAATTTGAAATGATCTCAGTATGTTGTAAAATACGGAAATAGCCAAATGAATTCAACGACAAACATTATCCCAAACATTTAGATAGCTTAAAAGTAAGTAAGTAATCACCCGTACTTAAAATATATATGTTTCCATGAACTAATATCGGACTAGTATCCAACTAGGGTCGGAACTTCACAAGACAATACCACAGTGTGAGTAACGATATGTACGATTATAATATCACATATATAGATTACTGTATCTTCTACAAAGATGTAAGTATCTTCTACGATGATGTAAGTATCATCTACGTAGATTCCAGTATCATCTACGTTTATCATCTATTTTATTTTAGACTGTGGCACTCATGCGCTTCCATAGTTTTGACATCTGTACTTTGAACAGTTTTCATTTCCTCTTGCGGTTACATTTTGACCAGGACATTGTCCCGGAATAAAAACATCAACTTCATAAAAATTTGAACAATTGTTGGGTAGTTATTAATTTGGCACGTTAAATGAAAGACAATTAAAACAAAATCTAAAACAAGAAAACAAAGCTGTATGCAAGCTTGCAAATAATTTCACTTCAACATTGTGCTGCATGGTTATCTGCGCCGATGTCATATATTTTTTAGTATGTTCTTCAGACAAGAGGTATGGGTCCAAAAACCTGGACTAAAATGGTGACAAAAAATATATTTATTACATGAAAACAAGACGTTTTTCCTGAAGTAAAATTATCTCAACCAGCATGTAGCAATTGGGGAGCCACACAAATCTACATACAATGGATGTAGAGTATTTTTTTAAAGAAAATACCATGATGATGATGTACGATTGCATTAAGATCATCCAAACTAACATAATCATATTCACAAAAGTTGGGGTGATTTGACTGAAAACTGGGCAGTAAAATTGAATGTTGAAGGTAGTTTAGAAAATTAACATTAGTTTACCACACAGTGGTACAATTTTAAACATGAAATAATAAGACTGCTGTTGGAAGCGAAAGAATACACGCTGGTCAAGTAACAAAAATGGCGCTTTGCGAAACGAACAGTCTCAAAGGACGAGTTAAATGAGAAATTTACAGTTGATAAGGAAAGGTTTTCGAGAGAATAATAAACGGCAAGAAGTGGTATTAACTCCATTTACGACATTATTTTGCCTTGCAAATGTGGAACTAACGTAAAAATAACGTCAGCAGTTTCTGTACAGGCAAGTCACTTACGACAGAGGGAGACAATTTAAGGGGAGGTAACTCTTGTATGACAATAGTTCCGTCAAAGTGTTATGTTCACTGCAGTGAAATAACAAGTGTTATGTTCACTGCAATGAAAATATCACTTTTCTCAACTTCGGAAAACTTGGTCTTTCACACTGAAGTATATAATAAAGCCAGCTTTCTAATATCATTCTTTGTTGTTGCTGGCAAAAATTATTTACACTGGATGTTTTTGTTCGTGACAGAGGACAATTATGTTAAAAATAATAATAATAAGGAGACTATGCTTGTCGTAAAAGGCGACTAACGGGATCGGATGGTCAGGCTCGCTGACTTGGTTGAAGCATATCATCGATCCCAATTACTCGGATTGAGGCTCATGATATCAATCACTGGATTGTCTGGTCCAGACTCAATTATTTACAGACCGCCGTCTAATAGCTGGAATATTTCTGAGTGCGGCGTAAAACAACAAACAAACCAACCAACTAAAAGCACATGTATTCATCATTAAAATTAAATGGGGCTCTTTTTTAATCTTTACATTTCAAGCATGCACTGGTTACTCTATGTTTTGCTGTTGGTGGTAAGATATCTGACACTGGTATTTGACAGATCACAATGTTCTTCAATGAAAATGATCGAATCAGTCTTTTCAGTCATATGTTGGATTTGCTCAGACATCCTTATACCAGCGTCACACTCGTTCTGGACCGAATCACACCAGAAGACACTCTCCGCCTCAGGAAGCGCTGATGCACCCAATACAGCAGGTCTTCTTTTGGAAGGGATTTCTTTCAAAGGTAATGCTGGTCTCGTTTGTTGTGTTGTTCGTTGTTGATGGTTCGACACTAAGCTGTCCTCTATCTCACAGTATGTCACATTGTCGCTAGTGGTTCTTCTTGACCTATTGGTGCAGCGGGGATCATCTATGTTTCTGTGAAAAAAAAACCCAGAAAAAACTATGTTTGTAATTTTTTTATAACATTCTCTCTTAGGGACCAGACAAGAAAAAACTGTATCTATTATGTATTATTTTGCACACGTTCATTATCATAGATATTAGATTCTTTGAGATAAGGACCGCCTCCGTGGTCTTGTGGTAGAGCGTCTGTCCGGAGATCGGAAGGTTTGGGGTTCGATCCCCGGCCGCGTAATACCAATAGACGTTAAAAGATGGTACTTGTTGTTACCCTATCTGGCGCTCGGCTTTAAGGGGCTAAAACAAGGACTGGTCGGCTCTGAGTCAGTATACTGTGTCTGGAGGGGTATTCATGTTAAACTGCGGCACTATAAATCGGCATCAGTCCGGACTAGTAAAAGCAGCCACACACGTGCATGCACGTCTTGGACGCGACGTTAAACCCAATGTCACCTCACCTCACCTCTTTGATATAAGTACAGTATTTCATTGTTAAATAGACAATATCCCAATCTGCAAATCTAAAAATTTCTTACCACCATCATTACACTTTACAGTTATCATTAAATTTATATGATCAAAATAACTTTCGGCTAGAGGTTGTACAGTTAAAGAACTGTTTTTAAAGTAGTTTGCATTAAACAATAATGAAACGGCAATGTCATGATATTGTATTTTTATTGAGATCAGATTCTTGAGAAATTTATCATCAATCTAAGTCGAAATTAGTCATTGTTGTCATAGTAATGTTCAAGATAATTCTAATACGAACCTCCTCTTGAGATGTATCCGAAACATTATGATCAGGGCTATCACAGCACAGCATAGGACTCCTGCTAATGTCCCAAAAGAAACAACCAAAATGTGTTCGGAAGAACCTGAAATAACGAAGCACTTTGATAAATCATTTAGATTTGAAAAAGTTTAAGTTTCGGGGCTATTTAGATTTGCAAGTTTCGGAAGAAGTTTTCGAGATTCCCATGAAGACTAACAGGATCTGGTGATTAGGCTCGATGACCTGGTTGATGCATGTCATCGTATCCCATTTGCGTGGATCAATGGTCATGATATCAATCTGGATTGTCTGGTCCAGACTCGATTGTTCACAGACCGCCGTCATATTGCTTGAATATTGCAGCGTTAAACAACAAACAAACAAGCAGAATGAAAGTCGCTTTGTCGTAAATCCGACATAATCATATACACCCAACTATGTCGGATTAACGGGACACGACTCTACCTGGAATATTGCTGAGTGCGGCGTTAAACAACAAACAAACAAACAAACTTACGTTTTTGACAAGGTGCTCGGTGGCAGGTGTCCTCTGAACATGGAGAGCAAATATCATCACAGTATTTCCTGCTGAAGCCCTGAGCACAACCGATACACAGTCCGGTGTCCTTCTCACACCCCTCACAGCCGACGGGACAAGGATCAGAGCAATTTAGTCCGTGATAGTTCTTGTCGAGACAGAGTCCCTTACATGTGTTGTCATAGCGACCACACAGTTTACAGTTAGATGGACACGTTTCATTACAAAATTCTCCTCTCAGACCCATGGAGCAGTTGAGACACTTGGCTGACGTCTTCTCACATCTGTCACAGTTACGTGGACAAGGGATAGTGCACATATTTCCATAATAGTTAGCGTTAATACACGGCCCAGTGCATTGCACGTGGTTTTGAGTGAAATCATTAATTGTTTTACAGTTTGGGTGGCATGTTGTTTTACAAGATGTACTGTCACAATTATCTCCATGTTCATCACATCCACCCTTGCAGTAACCTGTCACACAGCTGTTACAGTATTTCCCTGTGTAACCTGGCTCACAGCTGTCACAGTACTTCCCTGTGTAACCTGGCTCACAGCTGTCACACTCCCCCGTGTCTTTGTCACATCCACCTCTACAGTTGGGGGGACAGGTAACATTACACTTGTCCCCTGTGTAACCTGGCTCACAGCTGCCACAGTACTTCCCTGTGTAACCTGGCTCACAGCTGTCACACCCCCCCGTGTCTTTGTCACATCCATCTCTACAGTTGGGGGAACAGGTAACATCACACTTGTCCTCTGTGTAACCTAGCTCACAGCTGCCACACTCCCCCGTGTCTTTGTCACATCCACCTCTACAGTTGGGGGGACAGGTAACATTACACTTGTCCCCTGTGTAACCTGGCTCACAGCTGCCACAGTACTTCCCTCTGTAACCTGGCTCACAGCTGTCACACTCCCCCGTGTCTTTGTCACATCCACCTCTACAGTTGGGGGGACAGGTAACATTACACTTGTCCCCTGTGTAACCTGGCTCACAGCTGCCACAGTACTTCCCTCTGTAACCTGGCTCACAGCTGTCACACTCCCCCGTGTCTTTGTCACATCCACCTCTACAGTTGGGGGGACAGGTAACATCACACTTGTCCCCTGTGTAACCTGGCTCACAGCTGCCACACTCCCCCGTGATCCTATTACATCCATCTGTACAGCTGGAGGAACAAGGTGTTCTACAGTGTGGACCGTAATACTTGGGATTCTGACACGGTCCTGTACAACCATCACCATAACGTTCACACTGTGTACAGGCTGTAGGACAGTTTACACCACAGTTATCTCCCTTCTTGCCGGCCACACATCCCTCTGTACACACAACACGGGTGTTGTCCATCAGACAGCGAGAGTTGAGACAGTTGTCTGGACAGTCATGTTCACACTGTTTACCATAGGACCTGGAGTCCCGACACTGGAGACACTCTCCAGATGACGTCACATTGACACAGCGAGGTAGACACACGCCGTCAACACAGGCCACGTTGTTACCGTCACAGTTGCTGCATGGAGTACTGGCTGCGGAAGCTGTGAACAATGAGGTGGTTGGCAATAAAATGTCAGATATTATTGAAAGACGACACATTTAGTGTTCTTATCACAAAGCATTGTGGTCGAAATAAGTAACTTTCTGTTTCATAATGTGTATGATTGTGGGTTCGAATCCCGGTTCGCCCCAATTATGTTTCTAGGTTTGTCAGCACCATACCAGTGCTCTTGGGTTTCACCGAAGTGGTAAACGTCTGAGACCTGCCTCACTTCGGGCTTTCCTCCCACATCAAGGTGACACGCCGTGATATAACTGGAATACTGTTAAAAGCGGCGTTAAACCCAACTCCCTCACTCAATCACTCACTCATAATGTGTTTCATTGAATTTGTCTGCAATTCACATAAAATCATGAAAGCAGGGCGTGAAATATCTTTCGACGTACGAGTATTCATGATTCCCATAACAGACAGTCATCACAATCCATGGGTGTGACTACATCATGAGACTGTATCCACTTAAATTTGTTTGTTTGTTGTTTAACGCCGCACTCAGCAATATTCCAGCTATATGACGGCGGTCTGTAAACAATCGAGTCTGGACCAGACAATCCAGTGATTGATATAATGAGCATCAATCCACGCAATTGGGATCGATGACATGCATCAACCAAGTCAGCGAGCCTGACCACCCAATCCCGTTAGTCGCCTCTTACGACAAGCATAGTCGGATTTTACGGCAAGCATGGGTTGCTGAAGACCTACTCTATCCCGGATCGTACCCACGTACATACAGTGCATTAAAGAATGGATTACGATCCTGTATCATTGATAGCAAGGAATTGGAATAGAGCGACAAAACCCTTTCCATATCCAATTGAAATATCTGCATAAAGCAGAGTCGATTGTACGATTCCGACTTTATCATGAGCATGTGTTAATGAGTCACTATCAAATAGTGATGATATCAGGTGTTGGCGAAAAGGTGAGCGTATCCTGCCCCACCAGTGGTACCCGTCAAAAACACATGCAAAGGCAAGTCAATACATGTATACAAACCTGCTGATGCAGCACACAGTAGGATAATCACCACTACATGAACCATGGTTGAGGCGTGAAAGGGTTCTGAAAATAGATTATTAATAGAAGGTGATTTTTCGGTTAAAAGCTCCTAATAACAGTAATAATATACGATATAACAGGCTAATATACGAAACGAGGGAAATGGAAAAGGTTGTTTTAATTTGAAGACGCAAATACATCATAACATTGAAAAGGTGTGTTTTCATGGATCTACAAATAATTCCAATAGTACAAGGTGTACATAGTATTGGTAGAGACTTCTTGATCCATTACAAGTGGTCACTTTACTCGAGCGAACACAAACGGAAATATTTTAGTCCACGAACCTTGTTGTGAAAGTGGCATGTTGCCGCTTGTGATATTGACACATTTAAGTACATATGGATATGTACACATGTGGGGGAAAACGCAATGTAACAATGCAAAGGGCATTTATTATTACTGAAGGATTTTCATAAAATCTAGTATTGTTCGCTTATGGAATCGACCGATGAAGATTCGGGGTAGAATAGATCTTCAGCAATCCATGCTTGCCATTATTAGAGGCGACTATGCTTGTCGTAAGAGGCGACTAACGAGATCGGGTGGTCATGCTCGCTGACTTGGTTGATGCATGTCATCGTATTTCATCGTATTGCGTGGATCGTTGTTTATGATGTCAATCACTGGATTGTCTGGTCCAGACTCGATTATTTACAGACCGCCGTCATATAACTGGAATATTGCTGAGTGCGGCGTTAAACAACAAACAAACAAACAAAGCTTACATCAGGACTAATTCCTGACATGCAACACAGTAATGTTAGTACTTGTTAATTTTATATTGCAAATTTAAATGTTGTTCTTGTGGTCTGAGAAGAGAATCTGATCTTTGTACTTGAATCCCCAGAGAAAATACACTCTGTCAACTTGGTCAACTAAATAACATCGAAGATGATTGTCACTTCTTTCTGAAATGCTCGTTCTACAATTGACTAAACTATTGCTAAATACCAAAAACAGTATAATGTCCGCATGTTGATGTCAACCTCGAAGCAAGAATTATTTTTATGTATGTTTACCATGCTATGAAACTGTTTCACTATTCCTTAAGATGTCAAATGCTAAACAATGATTCTATATTCATGCAGATATGTAAATAACGCTTCACTGGCAACACTGTGATGCAGTGAATGTACTGTAAGAGAGTGAGTGAGTTGGGTGAGTAACGCCGCTTTTAACAGTATTCCAGTTATATCGCGGCGTGTCAGCTTGATGTGGGAGGAAAGCCCGAAGTGATGCAGGTCTCAGACGTTTACCACTTCGGTGAAACCCACGAGCACGGGTATGGTGCTGACAAACCTAGAAACATAATCAGGGTGAACCGAGATTCGAACCCACAATCATAGGTTTCTGGCGTGTCCAGGGGACGCAACTCTGCACAGCGAATCGCGGCGCCCTAGACGACTGGGCCACCCGTGCCCCCGAATGTACTGTAGCCCTGAGACCTGTAAGTCTGTTAGTGATTCACATGGGACCGTGTGAGGCGAAACAAGCTTAACTGAGTATCACACCAATGTCCATCATAAAACAATTGTATTAAAGGATTCAAATGTTGTAATAGATGTATCCATATGCACTGCCAGTCCGAAAAAGCTAGTTAATATCAAAATTAAACCGACATATGTGGCCAAAACGCTTGTCAGTTTTGTACGAAAATTCATTTGACAGGGAAAAAAGTACATTTTGCAATTTGAAGTATTCAGTTGTATCCTTCTTCCCTGAGTTTATCAAGTCATTTACCATTTAAGCGTAGAGTCTTAACGCTACAGATACTAGTTTGATTACCATATAGGTACAATGTGTAAAGCCCTTTCTAGTGTCCACTGTCGTGATATTTCTGAAATGTTGTTAAAAGCGGCGTAAACCCATTTTCACTCACTCGTTTACATTTTTTGTCTTTGATAAGTCTTTGATATCTTTCTCATTCTCTTTCTGAAGAGAGGCAACATCCGTGATGTATGGTCCGAATAAAGACAGAATTGTCTGATACAGCACAGTAAATAATTGACACATCCGAAGAATTCACGTATGAAGCTTAGGAGCTTCGACTCGTGTCGAAACCCAAAATAAAGTTTCTAGATTATTAAGTTATTACAGCCTGAAGAGAACCTACAATAATCACCTTGACGTCGGCTCCGATACAGCTATCTGTACTTGACCGCTGGCCACTCAGAGAGGACTGTGTTACAGTGTGTTCAGCAGGAAGAAATAAACCTCCGCACCAACTGGCCAAAGGATTTAGTTTTATCAGTAACTGTTCAATTATTATTTCCTTCACTCGAGGCAGAATAAGGACATATTTTAATGTGCATTTTATTTACAAAACTATCACTATTTCCTTGTGTATCAGGGTTGAGTTCAAAGCTTTGGAATCTGAAATGAGTGTTTCCTAACTACGCCTATATAGAGAATACTACACTCATTCTCGTTAGATACCATTTTTACGAAACGAGTGGACTTTCTATGGTATCTGACCGAGCGAAAGCGAGGTCAGATACCATAGAAAGTTCACGAGTTTCGTAAAAATGGTATCTAACGAGAATGAGTATGGTATTTTATTTATAACCCACGTTAAATATATATTTAAGTGTAAATAATTAAATTTTCGTTGTGTTCATTGAAATTCCTGTATTCTGATTAGCTGAATTGGTCACGTGTTATTGCATTCACTTCCCAATGAATGTACAAAATTAAGACACGCCCACCGAGGCGCACTACTTTTATTACTTCGGAATGTCGGGGAATCCCAATATTACAGCCGAGGGAATTCCCTTTCTGCTCACGTGTATCGTCATGCACAGGACATTTAGCGACTTTCATGCATATGCATTGTCCAAACTACCCTTTGAAACCGATGGCCGAGAATGAATGAAACAGCAAACGTGCAGGCTCGCTCGCCTGTTTTTTTTTCTGCTCGCCTCGGTTCAACTTTCATGTCTTCGGGTTTCCTTTCTAACTAGCATTTCTCCACTGTGTTTTACCGTAATCAGGGAAGTAATGTTTGAATCTGGCGGTAACTGACCATGTAATTTGAAACAGCCGCCTTCTCCCGGACATATTTCTCCAGTTCGTTACAGTCTGACTGTTGCAGTTCTTTTCGCCTCTTGTCTTAACTGACAGGTCTAATGAACATTGTTTTGATCCTGATCTCCGTTGATTGGCTACTGACAGTGTAGGCGTGTCAATTTATGTGCATAAATTAAACAATCACCTGATTCACGCCACAGTATGTATTCCTACACCTGAAATGTTTATCAATCTCGTCATTTTTGTCTGTTTTGATATATACAACTGTTTTTGGTTAAACTATTGTAGATAAAACATGTTTTATGCTGTCGAATTTAATTATAAGCATTGACTGTGTATTCTTTTCGGTTCATTGAGGTATGACTCGAAAAACCAATGTGCAAACTGTATGAATCAATGAACCGAAAAAAATACACAGTCAATCCTTAAATACATAACAACTTTCGTTCGTTGACAGACCAAACTGAAATCGGTTGCAAAATCTGGTTGCGCATGAATATTGATATAAGACCAAATATGGGCATTGCTGACATGTTTATGCATACGCATTAACAACATGCGCCTGCTGTTCTGTTTGCAAACAAACCAGCACCGATGCTCAAGATCCTTTTGGAAGAAAGTCTTCAACTTATGGTAATTCAAGCGCCATGTTGTTAGTACGCAGGACACCGATAAGAAAATTCGAAATGTCACATTAGCGCCGCTCTTTGAATATCGGACCAACAGTCACACGCATCACACTGCCGGGGTCCCGTCTGTGCAATCAAAATGGTTCGGTTTCCTTGATCTATCAGCTGAATTTATATCATGTCCGTACCATTTTGGAAGAGGGAAATCAGACTGTTCGCCAAAGACATTCATGTTACCTGTACCAACCTATATACTGAAGACGTGAAAATCAACAAACTCAAATCTGCATAATTTTTTTCATTTGACGTTTACACGATATACGGCTTTTTCATTGGACGAGAGGTCGGTCACATGACCGCGAAATTGACGTTCATAAGTGTATGAACGACCCAATTTGACGTTCATACGTTTTTCACGAGACCGTGTTCTTGAAATGACGTAAACACTGACGGACTACTTCCACATTCCTGGGGAAACCCCTGGGAATTCCCTAGCACGAAAACATACATAAGCATTATTTCTGATCATTTAGAACCTTTAATCTTGGTCTCAGCAATTCAGTATACATTGAGAAACGTAAGAGAGCTTGACTGCATGATTGTTCACGAATTTCCTCGCTACGGCCCATCCTAATGAACAAACGAAAAAATGCACATCCAAACTATCGTCTGTATCGACTCGATCTGTGTCTAGGCTGACAGTGACCGTCTCCAGCAATCTACGAATTTACCTTGGTGTCTGTTTGACGTATCTTTAATCACCTTTTAATAATCGGTCAGTTGATCAATGATGACTACCACATGTAACCGCCACAGGTTCATTAACAACTTCGGAAATCCTCCCGTCACGTTTATCGTGTCGGCCATTTGGACGTCTTGTACTTGATGTAAATGTATTACGACGCGCTGTCATTGTGACTGACTTACTGAGGTAGTTCATTACAGACCTTTCTCATCTAATGGGGATATTATATGAACACATGTGTTGCGTAAGATGTTTCTGAAGAGCAAGTTCTGCATCCATTCGCTCATGTCACCTCTCTTTTGGGGAACTATTTTATTCCGCGATATAGCTGGTTGTTGTTTGGCTGTCAGTGTAAACATGAAGTCACACGTACTAAATAAAATTGTGTTTAGATCTTGGCCTACATCCTTTGAGGTAAGAAATTGTGATAAAAAATTATAATTGACTTTCACTTTGTGTGAGTCCCTTGGATTATGAACCTTCATAGAGTGAGGGCCAAACTGTATGAACGTCGGAGCTTGCGACGACGTTCATACAGTTTGGCCCTCACTCTATGAAGGTTCATAATCCAAGGAACTCACACAAAGTGAAGGTCAATTCTTAATTGCATGTCAGTAACAGCTTCGAACGATCGAAGGGCAAGGTCGCCACCAGAATAAGAAAAGACAACCGCGATCCACTCACAGCGTTTTACGCTAGAGATAGGGAATGTTACTGTTCACATTTGGGATTATTGGGGCCACAAAATCAGAAGTCAAGCACACTTCCACGGAGTTTTCGAATGATTTGTATCGGAACTGTGAACTTTAAGTGATCTGGTCGTGCTGTCGTGTTCGTTCATTCATGGACAACACCTCCCGAAACAGCGCCGCAAAATACGCTTCAAGGGGGACACCGATGGCACAACCGGATCATCCCAAGTAAGTCTAGATATCTGTCCAGATAGTTTAAACAGACTTCATTTCACCACGCCTATCCTTTTACGTTAAATCAAATTGAAAGTTGGGTGCGTCACGCTCAATTTTTAGGGACGCGCTCGATCGGCAGTCGTACATTGTTAATCGATTTATAGATCTAGCTCGATTATATGTCTGTAGGACCTCTATGCATAACTTATATAGAATGCAAACCGAATTTGATGCGTGTGACTATCTTGTTTGGTTTAATAAAGTGTTTGTAAATATCTCTCGTTCTCATGAATTTCTTCAGTTCTGCCTTGTAATCGCAAAATGAAAAACGTCTCGCGATTTTTTATGAATGAAAAAAGTAGTCCCGGTGTGACAGAGGTCACGGTTATCCAATCAAAACGAATAAAACAAGGTCAACCTTGTACGACACACGTGTGACGTACGGATTTAGTATCTTACCACCTGTCTCTTCACCACGTATGTTATAACTACAGTTCATTATATCTAGCTAGGTGGGGTGAGATGAATTTGGTCTTAGATTATTGCACTTATATATGTGCATGCGTGTGAGTGTCTGTCTGTGTGTGTTTGTGTGCATACGTGTGTCTATGACCCGTGAAGATCCGGGGTAGAATTGATCTTCAGGAACCCATGCTTGCCGTAAAAGGCGACCATGCTTGTCGTAAGAGGCGACTAACGAGATCGGGTGGTCCGGCTCACTGACTTGGTTGATGCATGTCATCGATGCCAATTGCGTGGATCGATGCTCATGATATCAATCACTGGATTGTCTGGTCCAGACTCGATTATTTACAGACCGCCATCATATAGCTGGCATAATGCTGAGTGCGGCGTTAATCAACCAACCAACCAACCGAGCGCCACGCGGCCGGGGATCGAACCATTCACGTTCAGCTATCCCGCTGTGATTTCACTGAAATAGTGAGTGAGTGAGTATTTAACATTATTCCAGTTATATCACGGCGTGCCAGCTTAATATGGGAGGAAAGCCCGAAGTAATGCAGGTCTCAGACGTTTACCACTTCGGTGAAACCCACGAGCACGGGTATTGTGCTGACAAACCTAAAAACATAATCGGGGCGAACCGGGATTCGAACCCACAATCATAGGTTTCTGGCGTGCCCAAGGGACGAAACTCTGCACAGCGAATCGCGGCGCCTTAGACGACGAGGCCACCCGTGCCCCCATCACTGAAATAGTGCTAAAAGTGGCGTCAAACTATATTTCCATAATTCATTATATCTTGACAAACTCAAAGCGTCTTGCGAGTTATTACCCAGTTCACAGCTCAATGTGCATTAAAATTTCACTCTCAGTTCTCGGGAGAGCACATAAACATGCTATGTGCGAAGTGCGAAAAGGTTTACCTGAAAGACTTCATTGGTGAGGTGAAATGGGGTTCAAGATCATTGCACTTATATAGCGACCTGCATGCACGTGTGTGTGTGTGTGTGACTGCTTGTACTAGTCCAGACTGATGCCGATTTTATAGTGCCAGCCTACTGAGATACCATGCCGCAGTTTAACATGAATATCCAACTCAGACACAGTATACTGACTCCGAGCCGACTAGTCCTTGTTTAGCCCCTTTAACCCGAGCGCCAGTCAGGGTTACAACAAGTACCTTATTTTAACGTCTTTTGGTGTTACGCGGCCGGGGATCGAACCCCGGACCTTCCGCACTCCGGGCGGGCGCTCTACCACTAGACCACGGAGGCGGTCAAAAGACTTCATTACTATCTTAACCTACCGGGTACCAACTTCACCGCGATTACTATCAGTACCCCCGTGAAGATCCGGGTTACCCAAGCGTGTCGTAAGAGGCTCGCTGATTTGGTCGATTGATGCCACCGTATCCCAATTGCGTGGATTGATGCTCATTATATCAATCACTGGATTGTCTGGTCCAGACTCGATTATTTACAGACCGACATCATATAGATGGAATATTGCTGAATGTGGCATTAAACAATATCAACCAAGTCAGTGAGCCTGACCACCCGATCCCGTTGGTCGCCTCTTATGTACAGGGGAATGTCCGAGTAACTCTCCATTCCTTAAAAATAATGGAGCAAAGGCCCCGCAGGGGCCGAGGCCCATTATTTTTAAGGAATGGAGAGTTACGAGGATATTCCCCTACTTAAAACTCATCCCTACTTTTACACTTTGACAAAATATTCTGTAGTTGAAAATATTTGAAAAATTCCAATGCTGCTTCAAGATAATGTACAGTTGACAAGCAACTCTCCATTCCTGAAAAATAATGGAGCGTTCAAACAATAGAATGACGTCAAAGATGTGTTTTAAAACAAGCATAGTCGCCTGTTAGGGCAAGCATGGGTTGCTGAAGACCTATTCTACCCCGGATCTTCGCGGGTCAAACAAGTGGCTGAATGCATGAGAAACGATCAACCCCGTTTGGACACAATGGCAAACAATCAGCCATGTGGATCAGCTCATGATTCTATTCTACCGAAGATGTCACCATGACATTTTGACAGAGACCATGTGAAACGAGGATCAGTGCAAAATAGGTGAACTAAATTTCTTATCAATGAATAAACTATATCACTGCGGATTTTGTTTTGTTTTTCAAAATGTGTGTCCACTTTCACAATTCGTGGCCCTTTTCATAATAAGAAATTGGTGACATTTTTGCAATGGTGAACCCGTCTCTGTAACCAAAGACATCAATGATTATGTGTGTACATGTAATACCTACAACGTCTGGAGTATTAAAGACACTTTGATTAGGCTTTAATAGCGTTAACACCATGTCTTGCATTTCCTTCGTTGTACAATTAAGTGATCTGTAAAAGAATATATGTGCACGGAATAAACTTGACGATATTAAAATGTTTTCTTCTTCTTCCTCTTTTTTTTTCACTTTGTTCAAGTTTTTTAATTTGTTTTAGTGATAACACAAAGGCTGCCCAGGGAGTTCAGATCATCCATCAGATCATAAATCTTCAACCTTTCAGCGAAAAGTCCCTGTCAGTGTCACAGTGAACAGCTGAAACCGCATCCTTAAAATCCGGAACATTAGTGTTTTATTATTGGTATGAACTCAACAACAAAAAATAATATCAAGGGATAATAAATTGCGAATGGGAAATTTGTTTTACTCCGTTTATCTTGTTTTAACCAAAATACATTATATTTATTCACTAATATTTCTAATGTTAATTCGCTAATTATTAAAACAACATAAACACTCCCTATGGATCTATCTGCGGCTCATATGACAGCACTAGCTTTGTAAAATCCAATGCTATTTTCCTAAGTAATAACTAAATTACTAGTTTATATTTTCTTTTGTTAACCAAGCATTTTGTTACAAACTATTTTTAAATGTTCCTGATATAGAGACGTCAAGCCGTTTTTAAAAATGACTAGGAAAACAAATGTCTTCTATTCTGTGAAACTTAACGGTAAAGGAAATTAGTTTATGGACCAAATTAGTTTTGTAACTAACCGTATGACTGGAAATCAGTGTTGTGCTTCAGCAGTTTGTTCACGTGAATGATATGTCCAGTGTCTTTCGTGTTGTAAGGGATTCTTCGTCCCTTCGTTTTGTGGGCATAAGTAAATATCTGCATTTCGTCCTTCTTTTACACCCCACGTCGATAATACAGCTGTTAGGGTCAGTGCTATTTTTGCCAGTGCAAAGTCGAAGGCTACCGATTCATAGCAAGTAGCGTAGTTGGCGAGAAGTCTAAGGAACATACGATTTAAAAATAACATCTCATCTCATAACAATGACATAACATGCTTGCTTATTACCGAAAGCATTGATTTTGCAGAAAACAAATTGCATGCATGGACACAATATGAACAATCCAAAATATGAACATAATGAAAGATATCAGTGAAGCAGAATACGTTGTCGATTGTGTATTATTTGCCAATGTATCAAGTAAAGATAATGTTACCGCAGGTACCTCTCCGTATTAGCAAATGTACCCGATGTACAATTCTGTACACAAGTGGAGTAGAGAAATGTACACTGCTTGACAATATTAACAGCATTGTAGTCAGCACAAGTCTATTTTCCCAACTCCCCAAAATGATTTCTTTGCAGACTTACATAGCCTAGACTTCCGGAGTGCCCAAAACTCAGTAAAGTCTGTCGTGGCAGTACTTCAAAATTGCAGGATAATGCGCACACTGCTTTGTTTATGTGACATCAATACTGATAGCAGTTTTGAGCATTGTGATGAAACGGGAATCGGTTTATGTTATGTTATACCTGTGCTGACAAAGACCCCAGCTGAGTAGGACACCATTCACTATGCATTCTTTTATTGCATGAAAATTGCAAATGAGATTTTTTTTTCTTCTATTTTTAAACATGTTGAATCCATTTCTTTTGTGTTTTCAGATGCGAGTCACCAATATGTTCATTGCATAGTGCAGTAAATACCACAGATGTGCATCAATCAACAAACAACAAACAAGAAGGAAATGTCGTAACCTCACCAAGTGCATTTCATGATGGAGGTCCAAAACTTTGCAAACAATGTGATTGAATATCCACAAGAGTTTAATTACAACATAAACCATCCGTCTTTGTGTCTGCAACACACCGAAGTATTTCTTCTTGTTGCGATCAGGACAATCTTTGCCCATTATGATCGGCGAATGGCAATACGAGAGACATGGGGCAGCAAGCACAAGTACAAGGGCCTCCAGATACCTTTAGTGTTCATGTTTGGTGCCATGGACAATAGAGATATTCAAAACTCAATTGAAAGGGAGAACAAAATATACAAAGATATCATCCAGGAAGACTTCATAGACAGTGACAATAACTTGACATTAAAGACTGCAATGTCCTACAAGTGGGCGAGTAAACATTGTCCTCATGCTTCATATGTCATGGTTGCAAATGACAACATCATTGTAGACATCTTCAAGCTGATACCTTATCTAAAATCGCAATCCCCATCAGCAGATAAATTCACTGTGTGTAATTTTCAGAAATGTTGTGAAGCGCCTCCTCAAAGCCGATTTCTCAAATCCAATTATTTCAAGTACTATGGTAGATCTGAAGAAGTATGTAGCAGTGACGCCTATTTGGCGCCGATAGGAGTGGTGGACAAGTTGTTTCAGGCGTCGTTGTCCACTCCCAGATTTGGACCAGACCAGGCCTGGATGGGAGTAGTGGCCAGAGAGGCTGGAATCACTTTCCAGAACACTGCCAGTGCCTTTGTTGGGATTGATGACAAAACACCAGTACTCAAGAAATTCATGGGAGTGGATTATTTGACAAGCCCAGCAATGATTGGAGTTGTTGGAGATGAATTCCTGGGCAAGGAGGCAACGATAATGCGACATCTGTGGCGGATCATTCAAGAGCACCACACACGCATGCAGCTGTCGAGTGTGTACCATGCGCAATTCCCATCCAAGTCCTCCGACTCCAGCAGTGTCCTGGTGCTGGCAGTGTCCCTCATGTTTGTCGATCTCATGGTTGTAGTCATCATATTCCTCCTTATCTTCTGCAAGAAGAAACACAGAAGGAAGGTCCTGCATTGACTGATCTCATTCCTCATGTTCATCCCATTATGCAGAACAAGAACACACATTGATGCAGACAACTGTATGTGATGTGATGGTTAGACTTTTATAGACAGATATTTAGCACAGACAGAAACACAAACACAATATTCAGCAATATGTTCAGTAATATTATCATTGCTTTACCATTCTGATAAGGGTCAGGGCCCACTTGCACAAAACGATCTTAGTGCTAAGATGATCATAACTCCCATTCTTTTACATAGGCTTACCATAATCGTAGCGCTAAGATCGCTTTGTGCAAGTGGGCCCAGATGGCATAACTTAATTCAGCTTTTCATCAACTGATTATTTAATTTATTACAATTTGGGAGAAAAGTATTTACAAATAAATTTCAAAAGTAAATGCAAGTAGTTGACAAACACAAATTATCAGAGCTGTAAGTCTAAACAATAAGGAAGCATTAGGTTAATAGTGAGACAAGATAATTATTGCAATAGAGTTAGGAATCAATAGCAGTAGGTGCTCCACTGAGTAAATTTCAATGATCTCACATAGTATGCAATCATTTTCACCCTACATGCTTTGCTGACTGACTGATTTACCAGTCACTGAATCTATATATGATGTAGATAGCGTGGCAAATGAAACACTTAGACACTTGCAAGATGTACCATGTGTCCATGAATGTTTTTATTGTGCACAGTATGTCTTTTATAGTCTTTCAACAGATTCATACCACAAGTACTATCTATGTTAGTAGAATGACAGTGCAATGCATATCCTTATGCAATAACCATGATAACCAGGACATTAATGGAAGAGCTGTGAAATGGCAGACATGTCACTGGAGCATGTAGTACGATACAGTGAATCATTTAGCTCTACAGTTGAAATAATCAATCTCCTCTGCAACAGAAAGCCCTGTGGCCACAAGACAAGATTGTTTAATATATGTTTGTATACACGAGAAGGGCAATTTTGAAAAGCTCATCTTCTAGAGATTGTACAGGCTTTGATATTTTACATCGATCAGTATCACACTATTTTATGAATGAGGATCATCAGGTCAGTTTATCTGCAGGTCTTCTGAAATAGCATTGGACCTGTTGTAATTCAAATCGGTGGCTCAGTGGGCCTATCGGGTGTTTTGTCACACGAGAATGCCAGTTCTTTTCTTTCTGGCCAGCAGAATATTTTTTCTACAATTTTTCTGTTTTCACTGTTCTTCATGTTGGTTGCTTAAACTGTAACAAATTTTCAGACAGTTTACCATATTTTCTTATGACCACTGATTACCAAAGAAATTCTGTTTTGAATTGTTTGAGCAATCAGCAGGAACAAAGAATTGTTTTCTCTGTAGGCCTTAATGATCATGATGTTCATTTGTTTACATATGTGATAATCACATTAAACATATATTCCTGCTTGGTTATGTATGACATTTAGAGTATCACCATGTTTAGATTTGTATTCACATTGCCAAATTGATGATTCTATGCAATAATTAGAAATGTTTTCTTTGATGGGGATTTTGTGACTAGACAAGAGAGTAGTGCTATTCATGTGTTGCTGTGTGTCATATGTATGTAGCATGGTTGTATCAGGGCATTAGATTGGATGTGTGACATGTAGATTTAGATGCAGGTTTGTCATTTTGCCATCAGGGGCCACTCATGAGGCACTGCATTTTGCACACTTGAGTCCCTTAATCATTCAAGAATCAACGATGGGGCTCAGATGTCCCCCTCAACTAACTCTAAGGTGCAGCAAGTTTCTGTCAGAGTTGCATCCCTTATTCATGCCAGGATCTGCTGGTAGTGTGTTTTGGTCCCTGATTTGGCAGGAATGGTAGCCTTGGTTTGTCGGCACCATTGCCTTGCTCCTGTATTTCTGTAGTAGTAAGCCTTCATCACTTCACAGCTTTTCACACTGATATAACCATATGATAACTGAAATAATGTTCAAAGCAGCTTTGAACCTCATTCACTCAATTAAGGTTGGTCTTCACCAATCCATGCTTGTCGTAAGAGGCAACTAACGGGATCGAGTTGTCAGGCTTGGTGACTCGGTTGATGTTTGTAATCGTATTCCAGTTGTGTAGATCGATGCTCATGATGTCAATCACCTGATTGTCTGGTCCAGACTTGATTATTTACAGACCACCGTCATATACTTGGAATATTGCTGAAATATTGCTGTATACTGTGTTCAAGAGCAAATAAACTGCATGATAAGAACAGAAATGCAGTGTGTCATATTGGAGACAATTGTGCTTCTTGGTATCCACATTTAGATAAATTGTAACACCACACACTGAGTCAGTGTCATCATGCAAGACATATGCTACAATGCCATCCCCTCTGAACCTGAGCCAATAGCAACCAGCAAAAAAGAAAATATTAAAATCAAAGGACCTGTGACATTAAAACTTGTTTCCAGTTGCACTCCAGTACTTTTTAGGGGGTGGTCGGGTAGCATAGTGCTCAAAGTGTTCGCTCGTCACACGGAAGACCCGGGTTCGATTCCCAACATGGGTACAATGTGTGAAGCCCATTTCTGTCCCCCCTGCCGTGATATTGCTGGAATATTGCTTAAAGTGGCGTAAACCCAAACTCACTCACTCACCCAGTACTTTATATCCTTTATATAAGTCAATGAAAATAGGACCAGTGTCACCATGACTACCAAAGTTTACTTCCACATCTGATGAAGGTATAATTTCATCTAAATTACTGAGATGAAATCAGCTGAATGAGTAATCAGATATGACTGGATTATGTACAAGTACATGCACAAGTTGTAAGTGCTGTTATATTGCTACACGGGTGGCTGCATCGTTTGAAGTTTCACCATTCAATATGAAGAGTTGCATCCTTGATCATGCTTATGGTTCAAATGTTACATTAACCCAATCATAACCTTTGGTTTATTACCTATGATTGTCCTCTGACCAACCATGACATGGCTTACATGCTATGACATGACAGAAACACTCTTTTCAACACAATCTTAAACCTAACTCACTCACTCAACACAATCTTAAACGTCACTCACTCACTGGTCAACAATGTGTCTGAAGTTCAGCTTGTCCATCATAAGAATGATATTCACTAAACGTGCTATACCAAGCAATGTACAATTTCCTTGTATTTTTCAAACATTTTTCCAAGCTGATATACAGGATATTGTATATTCCCCAGGGAGCTGGGAATGAAAATCAAGTGCACTCTGGACCACTGACTGGGGTAATAATGGTTTAGTGCCATGAGCTTTCACTTAGTGAATGGAATCTAGTACACTATATATGGACTCATTATAAATATAGTACATGTTGTGAAGCACTTGTTCTGGAGATGCTCATTGATTAAGACTCACAGATGAAGAGTTTATGACTGTTAACCTTCATTTTAAGAGACGTGAAAGCTGAATGTGTACAAATATATATGTGGATGTGTGTACTCCGTCTTGTGTTTCTGTGTATGTTATTTTGTTGGATGGGATTATTGAGGCTAAACTTGCCGATTTCATTGGTCTGTTACTGTGGTATCATAGAAGTTGTTACATTTGTTTTGCTTAAGGTTATTATTGCCCATGCAACTTGCTTCACACTGGAGAATGGATATTCATCTTCCTTTTTAACTATATAAGCCATTGAACAAATTTCAGAAAAGTATTGATCAATTGAGTATGAATTCATCTTTGATGAGTCACTATTAATCATATTCTTCGCCTTAAATGTGTAACGAAAGATACTTGACAACTTAGTTGACATATTCTTATGTATGTAAAGTTACAAGCAAAAGAAGTAAAAAAATTAAATGTAGTTTTCCTAATTGTTTTTGCTTGTTCAGTAAGTATATGGTAATATGCAGCATCAACAGAACCAACTCTCACATTGTCATGAGAAATTGTTTTCCTGGCTGCTCTTGTTTGTTTATGAACAAAGAAAATGGATAGTGCTCTCAATATTAAGCTTTGTTTGTTAATTTGGAGTTATATCGTTCAAATCTGAATACATGCAGTTTACATCACCTTTTATTTGTATTGCAACACTTTGAAAATACATAGTGGATTTTGACTCTTGATGAGTAACAAGTGAATGGAAGTTCATGTCCAGGTATGACAAGTGCAGGCAAATTCAAACCTGGACAACATTATTGCAATGTTGCATTCCATCAGGCCTTACTACCATGTTCCTATTACCGTATTTTCTTGAGTATAGTGCGCACCCATGTATAATGCGCACCCCCCTCTAGCGGATTCAATATTTTGGAAAAAAAGAAATTTGAATATTATGCGCAGAAAAAAATTACACCGTACCACTTCAGCGAAGTCCGGCAAACGAACAGGTGATGAGAAACTATGTCAGTACAAATTCGAAATTTGAGATAAAAAATCACCAGACATGTTGATTTACCATTTAAATTGTATTTTTTGTTCTACTAGGCATTGTTTTATATCCAGGGATTAAGATTACCTTGTGTACTTTGTTTACTGTCACTTGAAAATTATTTCCTAAGTTCAGCGATAGAAACTAACTGTTTTAGCCCACTAGAACTTATAATAACATATAGCAAAAAAATAAAGGCAAATGTCTAAAAGTCCTTATGATACCTTTACTATTGAGCAGTTTGGCAAGGACTTTAGGACAAGTGCCAATTTCTAACGCTGTTCTACTAAGCATTTTCATAGTGTGTCAGCATATCACTCAACCGTTGATAAGGATATCTGTGTTATTCTATCATACATCAAACTGATTGTATGTGTATATGTAAATTGCAAAACATCTCAATATCCCTATGAAATATGTAGTACATGTATACCATATTGCTAAACCTGAAATACTACATTTTGCTCGTTAATCTGTTCAATTGTATATTCATACATTGAGTTCATTGCTTATCAGTCAGTGGCCTCTGTCATCTTGGCGGGGGGCACGGGTGGCCCAGTCGTCTAAGGCGCGGTGATTCGCTGTGCAGAGTTGTGTCCCTTGGGCACGCCAGAAACCTATGATTGTGGGTTCGAGTTCCGGTTCTCCCTGATTATGTTTCTAGGTTTGTCAGCACCATACCCGTGCTCGTGGGTTTCACCGAAGTGGTAAATGTCTAGGACCTACATCACTTCGGGCTTTCCTCCCACATTAAGCTGACACGCCATGATATAACTGGAATACTGTTAAAAGCAGCGTTAAACCCAACTCACTCACTCACTCTGTCATCTTGGCAGGTTTCAATTCCAATACCTCAACCATGTAGTTTTCTACTCTTACCTTACTTTTATAGCAAAAAAGTAGCTGTACAGTTTGAATTCCCAATATGTGGGATTGAATGTTGTGAAAAATATGATGACACAAGTCTTTTTTCTACAGGTGTTATCAAACATCAATACGAGATATGAATCTTACTGGTGCCTTTGTTTCCACCACTGCCAGTTGGTAGACTTCTATGCCTTCTGGTACAAACATCTAAAGCAATCAAAATGATCAATTAGGATTTTTTAGAATTCTTACTTGATACTGAATTGTTTTCATGACAGTTTCTTGCCTTTGCTTAACTGTTGTAGGATTTATCTATGCAACTTGATGTGTTTACTTCTGTTAGGAAAGCATGTGTCTATGTGATTTATATAGTGTTGTGTCAAATATGTGATTTTCTTTTATACAATGAATAAACTGTTGACAGACATAACTGACGGTTGTATGTATTTTATGGGAAGACGACATGAAAGCGATTTCCATTACTGTGAAAACATTTGATTTCTTAACTTTGTAAACCACTATCCAACATGATAAACTTAAGGGAAACTTCATTACTTGATCCATGGGGCTTTTGTTACAAGACGTGGTGGCCACAGATACAGTGAGTATCTATATTCAGGGGTTCAGGACAATTTGTGAAAAATGAAAGCAAATGCCATCTGAAGTTTACTGAGAAAACAATATGTGAAATGCTGGACTTTCTCATTGATAACATCTACGTACAATTTAGGGGTAAGACATTTAAGCCAGAAGTAGGCATCCCCATGGGCACCCATTGTGCTTCCCTTCTTGCTGATCTGTTTCTTTATGCATATGAATCGGAATTTCTGCATGGATTGGCAATGTCAAAACAAGGTAATTTGGCCAAGAAGTTAAGCGTCAGGTTTAATAACAATCAAATAGCCAATTCCCTTCCATTGATTTAACCACCTGAACTAGAATTAAAGGAGACCATTGAGACGGCCTCATCTGTTGCATATTTAAATC